CCCGCGCCGTCTTACCCACGCCTAAATCAGCTTGAGGTGGGGCATCCCCAACCTCAGCATCACCAGCATCTGGGGCATTCCCAACCTCAGCATCACCGTTATCATCGTCATCCTTGTGAATGGAATCACTCCAATTAGCCAGCCATGCCGGTGCGCTCTCTGGTGTAGGAGTACTGGTAGTACCTCGACTAAGAGACAACTGCCCCACAGTAGGGTGGCCGTCAAGACGCACTACATCCGCCTTCTTCTTCTTCCTTCTAATCTTAGGTGGATTTTTTTCTTCATTTTCCTTCCTACCAGTCGTCGTAAGTCTACACCGACGACCTTCCATTCTCTCCTTATTTCTCGCCTTAATCATATCCGGTTTACCCATTCCATGTCCAGACATCTTCAAAAAATAGTTTGAATTATTAATAATGGATTATTAATAATGGAGTACATAAAGTAATTAATTTAAGATTTTCATAATTAAATTTATAAAACTAATAGTTTGAACATTTATGTTACGTTCTATGTAATCATTATTTGCATAAAAGTAAATAATTAATCAAGGTAAAATTATTAATAATTAAGTAGATAAACGAATTACTTTGAAATTTTGATTATTAAAATGATAAAAATACATTTTTAATTTTTTATAATGTTCTTTAAATTTGTTATCATTAATTAACATTTATCGAATATGTTTTTTAAATTTTTATATCATTATTGACAAAATATATAACTAAATTATTTTTATTAAGTATATTTTTAATCAATTTTATTATTATTAACATTTATTGAATAATTAAAAAAAAGTAATATTTAAAAAAACAGAATATTAAAAAAAATGGTCAAACCGCGGTTTCAATTCGGTCGTACCTTCTTCTCCGGCGACGACGCGAGGAACGACGGCGGCGACTCGACGCGAGGGAGGAAGGCACCGCGAGTGAGCGGCGGTGGCAGCGACTGGCGACGGCTGGCGGCGGCTGGCGCCAGACTGCTGGCGGCGCTCGCGACGGAGCGATGGGCGGCGGCGGCGAGTCCGGGCGTCGGCGGTGAGTGCGGGCGACGACGGCGATTTGCACAGATGGCCTGCGGCGGCGAGTTGCAGAGATGGGTCGGCGGCGGGTGAGAGGAGTTCGGCGGGTGAGAGGAGTTGCAGGGGGAAGGGGAATGATTTTGAATTGAATAAGGGATTGTTTGTTCAAGCCAATTTTGAGTTTTTCCTTAAGGGTATATACGTAATTTTACATTTAAGTTAGAGCGACCTTTAGCAATTTCAAGGACGACATGTAGCAAGCCAGATTTTTTTGCCCGTCCGATCGCCAGAGGCGGACCCCGTCCGCTCGCCATATTCGGACGGCGCCCGACACCGGCCAGCGTCCGCTCGCCATATACGTAATTAAATTATTGCATTTAGTTTAATTTTGTAGAGTCAATTGAAGCACAATTAGTTTAATTAAGTGATTGTATTTTGTTGTAGCGGTAATTATTTTATTGTGTTTAGATTTAATTTGTAGAGCTAATTTCATTTAATAATTTATATTTAATTATTTTTTTTTAATTTTGTAGAATCATATAATTTGTACCTTTCTTATGAGTTGTAAAATCATAATTGCAGGTGGACATGGCTTACAATATTGAACTAATTGGTGATTACACCGACCATTTTCTCAATGACGTCTGATATGACAATTTCGAAGATGCTGTAACAGTGACCAAAAACATCGCGATGTCTCTTGGTTTCTTTCTAACTAAGGGATCGATGAAGCCACGTGAGTTGCGCAACAATACAGTATTGGCCTATTGGGTATGTGTTATATGTATTGTGACAGATGCAGTAGGGAGAGGAAGTCAAACAAGCCGGATCCTTCCAAGGAGAGTCGTGGCAATACAAGTTCAAAAGAATCGGGATGCATGTTCAAGGTTAAAATCAAAGAACTATTGGTTGATCCAGATGCTCTTGATGGACCTTCATTCTGGGAGATACAAGCAGTGATGGAGCAAGAAACCGGTTTGAGGCGAGGGTATCACAATCATGAGAATATGCTTTATCTCGAGGGCCACAGTCAAATGAATAAATTGAGTCAGGAGGATAAAGAATCTCTGAAGCAGATGAGAGATGTTGGGGTACCTCCGTCGCAACAGAAGAAGACAATAAACAAGCAGAAGGGTGACAAAGGGCATCACACCCAAAGGCAGATGTATAACCTCGTGTCCAAGTCTAGGAAAGACGAGATGGACGAGATGAATGCAGTGCAGTATGCGTTGCAAGCAGCTGAACGGGAGAATTATCATATACAGGTTATGAAGGACGATAACGACGTGCTTACACATCTTTTTTTTGCCCATCCAACTTCCATCCAGATGTTGAAGGCTTGGCTGTACATGATTCTGATCGACTCAACGTATAAGACCAATGCATATAAAATGCCGTGGGTGGAGGTCGTAGGTGCTACTCCCGTTGGGAATAATTTCAACATCTATTGTGCTCTCATGAAGGATGAGACAAAAGAGTCGTATCATTGGTTGTTGGAGTGCATACAACAATTGCTCCATCCACGCGTGTCCACTGTCATCGTCACCGACCACGAAGGTGGACTACTTGCTACGGTTTCTGTGGTCTTCCCCCGCACCCCGCATTTGCTATGTGTTTGGCACATCAACACCAATGTGTAAAGAAGTGTTTGGAAATATTTGGGAAGGACAAGATGGATTTGGTCAACGAGGCTTACGACCAATATTGGTGTCCTATGCTTTATTCTTGGTCCGAGCAAGGTATGTTGGCCGCGTTTGGCCATTTTAGGACAAGATGGGGCAATTACGAACCACGTCTGTTGCAATACATACAGGGAGTGTGGTGGCAACATCGAGATAAGTGGGCAGTTTGTCATACCAAAAATGTGTTTCATCTAGGAAATACGAGCACAAACAGGGTTGAGTCGTCACATTCCGCTTTGAAAACTTTCCTCCACAACTCGCGGGGATCTATGGACACTGTATGGAAAGGAAACCACCGCTACATAACTAACCAACTCGGGGAGGTTAGGATGATGTTGGAAAACTCTAGACAAAAACCCCTTTCAGCATCCGGTGGTACACCCTTCACATACTTGAGAAGGAAGGTCAGCATGCAGACAATTATATTAATGAGGGAGGCTGAAGAAGAATTGGCGGCCCACTTGGAAAAAAATGAGAACTCCCGATGTGCATGTCATTTCTCTGTGACACACGGCTTGAGGTGTGGATGTCAAGTTATGGATGGCAGTGCGCGAGACATAGAGATATACCCGGGTGATATTCATATATATTGGCGGACACTGACATATGAGCATCCACCCAATGTCTAGGAGTACGTGCCCCAGGAGGAGGAGGCTAAATGTCACCTTTAGGAGTTGGTTGATGATGATGTACGCAGAGGACCAGAGGCAACGAAAAAAGCAGCAAAGAACGTGTTTCGCGGTCTCCACCCAGCAGAAGACAACATTCACGAGCCAGAAGTGAATGAATTTAGAAAGGGACGCCCAACCAAAAAATCAACTGGAAGAACTAAAAGGTGGTGGGAAAAGATACTGCGAGGCAAGAAGAAAAACATGAAAAAGCAGTCGGGAAGCACAACGTCGGGGTCTACAAAGTCGACCAGTACCAAGTCCACGGGGACTCAGACAGACGAGTACCCGTCAGACGACCATGCAGTTGAGGAGTGTGATGATCCTGAAGAAAACAACAAATACAACTGTCCTGACACAGGTACAATTTAAAAATTTCATATGTGTAGTTATTTATATTAATAGTTTATGTAGAATTTGTGCTGATTATCTATTTCTTTCACAGATATCCCTCGATCCAGCAACCATTCTGATTACGCACACATGGAACTACTTCATGTCTTCGTTCGGGACCTTATCATTGTCATCCACGACCCGGTGCTAGACGATCATTGTGGGTTTCGTGCACTTAGTTTTGCATTATATGGTAATCAAGATGGGTTCCCAGAGGTGAGGTGACTACTTGCTGAAGAAATCCATGAGCACGATTGGCGATACGCACCCATCTACGGTGAATCTGTGAATGCGGCAATCAGACGCATTGACATCGCTACTACAGCACCAACGACTCAACGTTATTGGATGATGGGTGTGGATCTATTCGTATTTGCCACACTATTTAATTTGGCTGTTGTCATGTACAGCTCTTACCTCTTGCTAGTACCAAGTGCGTACAACTGTACCATTATGCCAGTGGACAACATACCTAGGGCAACCAGTCCTAGAGGAATCATTATTCTGCATTTCGTCCAGGATCATTGGATCAACCTCTCTTTCCGGGCGGACAAGATACTGATGCCCCCTCTACATGGCATGTGGCCAGGCGGTGACCAAGAAAGCGTGGATGGATGGGATACATATTTCGCGCCGTTTAGTCAAATGTGGTTCGATCTTGGGGTGGGATGCATAGCTTTCCATCATGCAAAAAGAGGGTTCCAAAGAAATAAATTTGTACTCGTCTTCAATTTAAATAAATTGTAATGAACGTCTTCAATTTAAATAAATTGTAATGAAGTTTGTTTACGTCACATGGAAACATGATATAATAAAAACATCCGAAGTACAACATAAACCACATAAGTCATAATCAGATACAAATAACATAAGTCATAGTCTAAAAACAACAAATAAGCAACTGGACACCACATAACATAAGTCATAAGTCGTAGTAGAACAACAGAATAACATAAGTCAACTCGTTTAAAAACAACAAACAACACTCATACATATGACATAACAATCATACAACTACTGTGGAGGTGGTAGAAAACCCGACTTCCTCCTAAACTCGGGCCAGATGTTCCCAACTCCATGACATAAGTCGTAGTACTCGTTGGCGCTAGCCATCCACTCCTCCCTACTACCCTGTGCAGCATCCATCACGGGAGATATCTCAATCCACATCTCGCGTTACAACTGTAAACAAAAACCATACAATTTAAATACATGTTAGTTGCAATAATTTTTTTTTTACTTAATACAAATAATTTCAAATATGATCGTACTAACCGTATCAGCATCCGCGATGTCGCGACGAGGTCGGCTGTCACTCACTATCTGTGGGTGCGAGTGCCTAATGTACCACCCCATGTAATCCTCAACAAACTCCCATGGCCTACGTCGTACCGGAGTAGAATAAAGGTCCAGATGCACACTATGCGCCCCCAAGTTGTTCCACCACGAATCATAAACAGACTGGTAGCTAAGAGAGTATCCAAGCGTGGAAGCAGGTCGACGCACAACAAGCGGACGCTCCGGGGGATACGGTACACTCTGCACGTATCCTAACTGTCGGAGGCACCTAGTGGGATCATATGGCTCTACTATCTCTGCAAATCTAAGAAGACCCTGATACAAGGTATGTCTCACCGTTAGATGAGGACTCTGACCATACGGAGTCCAACAAACTAACTGAGGGGTCAAAGTATCAATCGCCTGCCGATAATAAGCCAGCATTTGTGCATCCCTCTTCTTCGTCGAGTGGGGTGAGATACCGCGCCACCTGAATGCTCCTGCCTGCCCCTGCTCCAACTCTCGTGGCTCCAACCGTCTAGGCCTCAAGGTAGGAAAGTGGTCGTAAATCCAACACTGTAGTAAAGTCAGACAACCCGCCACTCCCTTAGACTCCGCCCGGGAGGCAATACCAAGCTGCCTGTACAGATAAGCAAGTGCTCTTGCCCCCCACGCGTACTCTCCTAGCATATCCGGCCTCTTCACAAACAAGTTGACAACAGCAGAAACGCGATCCTTACTCTTATCTACGAACAGTGTGGACCCAAGCAGCAAAATAAGGTAACACTGAGCCTCTCTAGCTGGCGGACCAGACTGCTGCAAATGAGTCAAAGCTCCCACACCCAAAAAACCAAATCCTCTGTACCACCTAGATAGATTGGCAACCTCGCCAACCTGCGCCCCGTACTCAGAATTGTCACGATCTAATCCCAGTAGTGCTCGGATGTCAGCCTCCAGTGCCCACTTCTCCAACTGCCTCGGATCCACTTCCATCGCCTCTCCCTCAACTGCAAGCCCAAGAATGTGAGCCACGTCATGAAGGAGGATCGTCATCTCTCCAAACGGCATGTGGAAGGTGTTGGTATCCGGCTGCCACCTCTCCACAAATGCCGAGATGAGAGCAGGGTCCAGCTCGCTCTGGAAGGTGATATCAACGAGGTGAGCAAGGCCCGATGTCTCTACTGTAGTCCTAGCGTTATCATATGCTATCACATAACCGTCGAGAACGTGGCGAAGGGTCGAACTCCTGTTGTAGCAAGTGATCACCCCTCCATCAGCATCTCCAGTGTACAGACGGTGGGCAACATGCCCAAGAAAGCTACGGAGCAAACTCGGGTCGCTCGGCACTCCAGCACACGGTCCTCTAGGCTCCCAAGCCTCTCCCACATCAGCAGTACCACTCTGGCCCTCACCAGGCTGTGGAACTTTATAGAAACGCCCCGCATGGTCTCTATAGATCCTAGTAACAACATGAAACCCAGTAACGACATGTGACGATCCGCTGGGGGCACCTCTGTCTCTGATCGGACTGACTGGTGGAATGCGATACTCAACAGCATCCGACTCATACTCCTCCGGCTCGTCATCAATCTCGTCTGAAGGCTCAAACGGTGAAGCATGATCACGACTGGGACCAGCTCCACTACCAGCCATACTAGGCAACTGAAAATCAAACTGAGGAAAACCGTCTGCCCTCAAACTCATCGGTGTCACTAGTGGCGGTGGCTGTGGCTGTGGCTCATCTCTATCATTTGGGTCCCTATTTCTCACACTAGAGCTAATGTTACACCCAATGAATCTTCTCAATCTCTTTGCAGCTCCTCCAGAACTACGTGATCCTCCAGAATTACCAGGTGACGCAATCTCTAAACATAGTCAATAATTTTCTATAATATCTTATAATAAATTATTTGTTGAGCAATTACTTGTTGTTTCATAGAGTAATTATGATACATACAATTTGTTATCTAATTAATTTAACTAGATAGTTATTTTACTTAATACGATAGGTAGTTAATTAAATATTTATTTCAACTTACTCAATTACTTAACTAAAACATCATAGATAATTATTTAAAATTAACAATTATTTACAATTTATTTAATCCAATAATTATTTAGATAATTATTATAATAAATTATCTATTAGCATAGTCAATGATTATCTATTAATCTCTTATAATAAATTATTTGATTAGCAATTTGTTCATAATCATAATTTATCAATTATTAATTATGATACATACAACTTGGTTATCTAATTAATTTAACTAGATAGTTACTTTATTCAATACGATAGATTGTTATTTAAATAATTATTTCAACTTACCCAATTAATAAACTAACACATTATATAATTAACAATTATATACTAATTATTCAACCATCAATATTAAACTAATTAAGATACTAACAATTATATTTAAAATAAATATAATAAATATGTATTTAAACCGAATCAGAAACCCAACCAGACCGTTCCGACCAGGCCGGGCGGACGGGGTACGACCAGACCGGGCGGACCGCGTCCGCTCCAGCCAGTCAGACGGCGGCGAGAACCAATTAAAAAAAACAAAAAATGACCTCGGCGACGACGACTGGAACAACGGTGACTTCTCCTGGGCGGCGGCTGCTTCTCCTGGGCGGTGGCGGCCGAGATCGGCAGAGGGAATGGGCTGGTGGCGGCTCTCCTGGCGGCGACTTCTCCTGGCGGCGGCGGCGGAGCTCGGCAGTGGGAGGTCCTGGCGGTGGCCGACGGTGAGCAGCAGGGGTGAGAGGTGAAGGCAGCAGAAGGGAGGGTTGGGACTTGGGGTAGTTAGGTTTAGGATTTTTAAAATGAGGCAGGGGCAAAATCTTCATGTTTTTTGTAACTACGGGCGGCAAAAAGCGATTCATTAAAAAAAAATCCGCTAAATTAGAGACGCCAATTTGAACTTGTCTAGCGGGTATTATTTGATTTTATCTGTGATAGAGTGTGTATTACTCGATTTGCAGTAGCATGAGGCGGGATATGTATATCTACTTCCGACTCGTACTCTCATGCCCTGTTCTTGATTCATTATATCTCAATTTCTTGCAATATCTATACATATTTCTCCTATTTTGACTTTTCTTCAACTAGTTAGAGTCGAATTTCAACTTGTTAGACTCAATCACCCATTCTATTATCATTATTTTGATTTATATAGTGTTTCATCTTCACTTTATCATAAAAGTTAAAATTTACATGTATTTTTTTCAAATAACATGTAAGAGTGGGTCGACCCGCCCCGCACCCGTACATGTGAGGGTTTTACCCGCTTCGGCCCACACTAGCGTGGGGCGGGGCATGGATATCGAGGATTTGAGGTACCCACCTCACCCTGCCCCATTGCCATCAGCCCATCACTACGCTTGGCTCAAGTTAAGGTGCAAATGCACTTTTGTATAGCTAAATCTGGGCCTTCTTTTTTTAGTGGGCTTAGTAAATTCAGATCTAAGGGTTGGGAATTAAAAATCATGTTATTTTCTCTAGTTTTCTTAAGTGACTCTTATCTTTTTCGTTCTAACTCGGTTTTTTTTTACACAGATGGAACGAGTTCGTTGTACTTTACAAAATGAGATCTATTTTCAATGTTTTTTAGAACGAAAAATTCATACCACTCGTTACCAACTTCATACCATTGGTACATTTCATTTATGTGGCATGAATGAATGATAATTATTGCAATTTTGGACATTTTTTATTTAATGCGATGCATGAGAGGATAGAAGAATGTAACTTCTATATGCTAACATGTTCCACAAATTTGTGAATGGACTTAATTCAAAATAGCCCTATGTGGAATATAAGGTGAGTTGGAAGGTTGTAAGCTACCCGATTATGAAAATATGAATAACCATAGGTGTGTAAACCCTATGGGGACTTTTGGCTCAAGTCTATTTAAGCCAAAATTTTCTATAAATATAAATGCAATGTTCAAAGGAAATTGAACATAATGTGACAGTATACCTCCAATATCTTGGACATAAAGTTTGATTAATGCACGTATAAAAGATTGCATTAAGAAGAAACCACAAGAGACAAGGAATTCTAATTTCTATGATGCTTGTCAAGACATGATAATTTGTTTGTCATGCATTTGGTTTAGAACTTGATATTTCCTATGCTTAATGTGGCAAAGTAAAATGAAGCTAAGATTGATCCTTATATGGAGTTAAGAAGCTTCCTAAAAGATGGTGATCATCAAGATAATCATATAATTAAAATCAGAATTTTTTATGGTATAGATACACTATGTTGGCAAACAATTTGACTTATGATTATCATTGTGAAGCTACAGTATTATTTATGGTCTATATAGCCATATACCATTGGCAAACAATTTGGCATGAGAGCTTGAATATGATGAGTTTGTTGAACTTAAAGTATGAATTAGTTATGATGTATTTATAAATTTATACCATTGGCAAGTAATTAGATTATTAGACTATTGGCTTAGAAATTCATCTGAATTACTAGTGGTATGTCAAGTTACCTTGAGAAAATGTGATTGGTAAGTGATTCGAGGCTAACTATGCATGTTTCATGCTTCATATCTTGATCGTTTGTCATACATTATGCTAGGTTGTACCTCGTTTGTCATATTCCAACTCCTAGTACATGGTGGAAGTCGAGGAAATAGTTTTGGGACTAATGGAGTAAGAAACATCAACGAAAGGAGAAAGCAGGAGGAACACGACCTAGTGACACAGTCGTGTTACACACCCGTGTTCATTATCACGACGCAGGACGTGATCCCGATCTCCAGGACACATGTTTGAAAAAAATTCAATTAACACGACCGTGTTCGTAGACCGTGTTCGGTGTTGAGGAGCATAGTGCAAATGACGTCTAGAGGGCAGTTGAAAGGTTCACTTTCTCATAAACAAGGAAACCAACGTCATCAGCTTTATAGTCCGTAGAATACGGCTCGAACACAGTCCCGAACATGACTACGTTCATCTCCAAGTGATGCGTTTCATTCAACTGTAGGAGAAAACCGAATTTGTCTTAACACGAGTTAGGAGAGTTCAGTTGAGTCGGGTTTTCACCCTACAACATCGAAAGGTGGATTTTTATAGAGAGTGATCTAGAGTGACCTTGGGGCTGAATTGGAGGCTTGGCTTCAGATTGGAGCAAGTAAATCAAGCCAAGAAGATGAAGAATGAAGATCTCAAACTTTGTATTGTAAATTCTCTCCTATCTATGAATTAGCTTTCCTTCACTTAAGCTGATGAACCCTAGGTCTAGATATTGGTTTGATTGTTGATATATGCGACAAATCCTATGATTATGATTCTCTATTATCTCTTGAATTGAGTATTTCATGCAATTGATGCATCTTGTTCTCATCCATCAATTTGGGGATTTTTGACACAGGACGGAGAATATCCCCCCCCCCCTCCATGTTGAATAGATCACTACCAATTCATCATTATGGATCTATAAATGAGTGAGAATGGGTCCATTGTGTAGTATTTGATCTCGTCCTGCGGTTGTTTCCCGGAGACAGACTCATCGAAGAAGTAGGTTTCTTTATCGTGCTAAGGAACGACTAGCAGGCACTGTATCCACCGAAACGTCCTCCACACAACCACTATTGGCTATCTCAATACGTCCACAATTGACCAAAATCGATGAACCTCCGGGTTCATTAATCGAAGGGGATGAGCCAATGTTCAAGGGTGAAGTTAGCATGCAACCCGATTCATCACCTATTTGCGTCACCAAATTACCACCGCCAACGGAAACCGACCACAACGCACAAGACAACAAGTTCTTTCCTTAGAGGAAGAAGAGGAAGAAATGACGATGAGCCACTTTTGAATTAATGGAGACTCGCGAGCTCGTATTCCAGTGAACATTGAAACATTTATGGAGGTGGCCTAGGTGTGGTGAAATTATAGATCCTACCATCCTACAGAAGAAGACTAATATGGATGACCATGCCACTATTTTTTCAGCTGGATTT